TAAAAATATATTTTTATTGATTTCAGAGAGGAAGGGAGAGGGAGAAAGAGAGAAACATCAATGATGAGAGAGAATCAGTGATTGGCTGCCTCCTGCACACCCACTACTGGGGACCAAGCCCACAACCCAGGCATGTGCCCCGATCAGGAATCAAACCATGACCTCCTGGCTCATAGGTCAACACTCAACCTCTGAGCCACACGGGCCAGGCCAGATATTTTTAATAATATCCCTCATCACACCTCACTTTGGCCACAGAGGTGCTGCCTCTCTCCAGCGCCCCCTCCTGAGGCAGCACAAGTTGTCTGTGTTCTTACAAATGCAGAATATCTCACCTGCAGCATAGCTACGTAACAGTTCAGCTGGTGAAATATGTTTTTCAAATATATCAAATACATATTTTGCAGTTTTTAAAGAAAAATGGGCACACTCTACACGTGGTTTTGCATTTTGCTCTTTCACGTAAGACACCATGGCTGTGTTTGCAAGTCAGAGTTACATGTTTTCCTCATTCCATTTGGTGGCTACACAGCACCCCATTGAATGGCTGTGAGCCGTCTTAAAACCATTCTCTTGGTGACGGAGAGTTAGGCAGGGCCTAGCTGTTGGTTTTGCAAACAGCATTACAACGGACATCCCTGTATGAGCACACGCAGAGGCACACCTGTGCGCACACACATTCACACACGCACACGTATGCACACACATGCACACAATCACTTAGCACCGCTAGAGCTCTGCAGGGAAAGGATTCCTGGTTGCAGGGCGATACTCCCTCTTTGTCATGTTCAGAGAAAGAAAAGGCAAAAGGTGAGAAGTTGAGAGCCCCTAGACCTCGCCCCAAACAACACTCAGTAACTCAGTAGTAAGTCTGGGTAAAAAGAGAATAAAGCTGGAAGACAACGTACAAGCATCTTCATGACCGTGCGGATGTGCAGTTTCTTGCGCAGTCTGCTGAAAGCTCTAATCGTAAAAGAAGTCGTTGACACGTGGGCCTCTTCAAGAATGTCTGTTTAGTAAGTGACACCACCAAGAGCGTCCGAGGCAAGCCAGGAGCCAGAGGAGACACGGCAATGCGCACGTCCAGGAAAGAATTCATGTCCAGAACGTGTAACAAACAGAAAAGTCAATGAGTTCCATCTTTTCCTCATTCCATTTGGTGGCTACACGGCACCCCATTGAATGGCTGTGAGCCGTCTTAAAACCATTCTCTTGGTGACGGAGAGTTAGGCAGGGCCTAGCTGTTGGTTTTGCAAACAGCATTACAACGGACATCCCTGTATGAGCACACGCAGAGGCACACCTGTGCGCACACACATTCACACATGCACACGTATGCACACACATGCACACCATCACTTATCAGCACCGCTAGAGCTCTGTTCAGAGAAAGAAAAGGCAAAAGGTGAGAAGTTGAGAGCCCCTAGACCTCGCCCCAAACAACACTCAGTAACTCAGTAGTAAGTCTGGGTAAAAAGAGAATAAAGCTGGAAGACAACGTACAAGCATCTTCATGACCGTGCGGATGTGCAGTTTCTTGCGCAGTCTGCTGAAAGCTCTAATCGTAAAAGAAGTCGTTGACACGTGGGCCTCTTCAAGAATGTCTGTTTAGTAAGTGACACCACCAAGAGCGTCCGAGGCAAGCCAGGAGCCAGAGGAGACACGGCAATGCGCACGTCCAGGAAAGAATTCATGTCCAGAACGTGTAACAAACAGAAAAGTCAATGAGGAAGAAAACAGACAACCCTCCTTTAAAATGAGCAAAACCCGTTAAAACGAGACCCTCGTAGCAGAGACATCCACGCAGCTGGTGATATGACCGGGCGCTCCCACGTGGTGGGTCTTCAAAGAAATGGAAATGAAGAAAGATCGGACTGAAATGAGAAAGACGGACAATGCCGAGTGTTAAGAGGGATCTGGAACAGCCATACCACAGCACGTGAATGGCTGACATCTTCTGGAGGCTGTTTGGACGCGTCTCCTAAAGCCACACATATTGAAACCCTGCACCCCAGCAATTCCGCTCGTGGGCCTAAACCCCAGAGCAATGCACACGTTGAGTTTCCCGGAAGACACGTTCGAGAGTGTTCAGAGCAGCCCTGTTCATATGTGTAGTGAGGACAGTGTCACGACTCGTCATTAAAACCGGACACTTCCCCACGTGCCCACCAGCAATGGAAGAAATAACTACGTTGTGGTGACTCAGACAGTGAATTGGCCATAGCAGTGACAGGAGACAGACCAGCATGGGTGACAACATCACAAATGTAATCTGGAACAAAGAAGCCAGAGGGACAAGAATGCATGAGGGTCAAGAACAGGCCAAACGGCCCGGCAGGCGTGGCTCAGTGGTTGAGCATTGACCTATGAACCAGGAGGTCACGGTTGATTCCTGGTCAGGGCATACACCCAGTTGCAGGCTTCATCCCCAGTGTGGGGCGGGCAGGAGGCAACCGATGAATAATTCTCATCATTATTTTTCTCTCTCTCTCCCTGTCCTTCTCCCTCTCCCTTCCACTCTGAAATCAATGAAAATATATTGGGAAAAAAAAAAAACAGGCTAAATGAAGCTATGGTTGTAGAAGTCCAAATCATGGTGAAATTGGGGGCGGGCAGGGCATCCTTTAGGGGCTATTCCATTTCTGGTCGGGGCACTGGTGTCCCTTGGTGACCCCTGCAGCCGCG